TAACCCTAACCCTAACCCTAACCCTAACCCTAACCCTAACCCTAACCCTAACCCTAACCCTAACCCTAACCCTAACCCTAACCCTAACCCTAACCCTAACCCTAACCCTAACCCTAACCCTAACCCTAACCCTAACCCTAACCCTAACCCTAACCCTAACCCTAACTAACCCTAACCCTAACTAACCCTAACCCTAATAACGACCTTCGAGAAAAGCAGCAACGGCCTCAAAAAGTCCGGGAGCAACTTCGCGTTGATCTTGTGTTTGCCGGTCTGCTGCGTAGTCTTGTCGTAACCGGTCACAATGAAGATTTCGTCGCCGAACACGTAGATGCTTCTCATATGCCCATGCTGCGAGTTGGAGCCGAGCAATGCCTGCCATTCCGCCGCCCTACCGGGCGCACCGCAACAATACCATGTAGCTATCATTAAAAAGTCTTGAAGCTTGTTGTACGCGGCGAACACATCCTGGAGCTCTTCCTCAAAATACAGGATCTTGTCCCTGTTGTCCACACGAGTAATCTTCGTGAAACGGTCGCGGGTGAACTGATCATCCATCCATAGCTTTATCAGAAGTCTATCGTACTTGTCGTAATGGTTACCGGGATGGGCTACGAAGGAATAGTGAAGGGACCGATTGGTCGGTTCGTCGCGGATACCGACGCGAGTGAAATCGAAGACGTCGTCGTCCATCTTCCTCCCCATAAGGATCTTCTCCACGACGAGAAGCTCTATCTTGACGAGCTGAGCCTTGAACACGTCTCCGATCATTGGCATGCTGATGATCTTGCCGTCGTGATACCACCTGTCGTACTTGTTGTCGACGAACTCGAGGAGCGGCTTGCCCATGCTCGAGCGGGCCTCGGAGCACACGAATCGGTTCGCAGAGAATATATTGGCGAGGGCCGTGTTCGCGTGTATTTTCAGGTAGGGCTCGATGAATTTGTACGCTCTAGATAAACATATTCAGTGGACTGGAAAGCTGTGTGGGCTGTCGGTACGTACTTGAAGAAAGAGATCTTTGCTTCTTGAGAATGCAAAACGCCCTGAACGTAGATGCCGAGCCGGCATATGTAAACGGTGCGGGAAATGATGTGGCGAATAGCCTCCGCCGACTTCAGAGAGGCGTGTTCGTCGTAGCAACTGAGGACGAAGTAGTTATAGAGCGGGGTGAAGAACTTGTTCGGCTCGGATCCCTCGTTTTCGTGCGACAGAAGAGACCATAACAGGTGGTGGAGGACGCTGACAATCGGTTTATCGTGGCCGAAGCGATCCATGAACGGCTTGAGCAAACGGTGGGCGGCAAGTCTCTTCTTATTGGATACGGGCCCCTTTCCGGCTTTGTGCGCTGCGTCCAGAAGCTGCGCAAGTTCTAGAGCATGGCGTCGTTGATCATCCGTGAGCTCCAGGGAGAAATGGTTCGGCATAAGGCCGATAGCGGCTCTGATGACGAAGAGGAGGACGGGGAACACTTCGCGGACGTATATCTTCCACGTCTTGATGCGTCCCACATGGCCGGGATTGTTATCGCGTCTGATGGTGACGGTCAGTACAGGAAAAGAAGAAAAACAATAACGATCGTGGCGTACTCACATCCCGTTATTCGCCAACATTTCCCAAACGGTGTATGGCTCCCTTTGAAGCGCGTCGAGGGCGACGTCAACGTATCGCTCCATGTATAATCGCAGAAGCCCTAACGCCTCCGGGTCCTTCGAGCCGTCGAAAATCTCTTGGAGCTGAACGCCGGTGCGACCCTTCATGTATACGCGCCAGCCCTCCCTCATCTCGAATACGGACAGTTGGCGATCGTCCTCCGGTTCAGAAATAGGGACTTGCTCGAGCGAAACACGCTCGAGGTCGGCGTCGATGAGCTTCCAAGCCGTCGCTGCGGCGGCATCGTTGACGGGCTCGGGCAGGGAACGATACAAGACGGGAAAGAATCGTTTCTGGATCGTCTTGCTGAAGAATGTCTGCGCCATAGACCGATAGCACCGCTGAGCCAAAGGGACTGACTTCAGATCTTCGTGTGCACGGCATTGCGTATGCCGGCGAGCGAGCCCCGCTTCAGATATGGCTCCCGTGTGACAAAAAGCGCAGAAGACGATGGAAGGGTGTAGCGTAAGCCCGTGGATGATCCGCCGATTGCGAGGCCGTATGCGTTTCGCCTCGTCAGGGCCGACCAGACCGCGCCGTTCGCATAACTTTCGAAGAGAAATCTTGTTTTTCTTGCTCAACTTTCCGTTATGTTTGCTGTCGAAATGGCCGTTCAAAGCGGTGGGGTCGAGCGCGTAACCACATTTATGACATATGAGAACACGATACGTTAGGTTGACCGTACACTGAGCCTTTCTGAGCAGTTTCGCCGTCTTGTCCTCTCCGTCCTGCGGTAACTCATCTCGACCGAAGTGAACGGTGGCCTGGATCCGTGCAACTTCGGCGTCGCGCTCGTGTTGCCCTATCCCCTGCCAAACGTCCCTAGGGGCGTCCTCCCACTCCGACTCCGAGCCAACCTCGACGTCGACGTCGTCCTCGTCACCTAACACCAACCAGATCTTGTGGTCTTCGTCGTCCATGCTTTCAGGTTCCTCCTCTCCGACATGCACCATAGCCGCGGGGTAGTCAACGCCGTCTATGTCGTAGTAGTCGAAAAGGGGGCTCGACGACAGTGTGCCGACTTTAACTTCGACGTCGTCGTTGAAGCTCTCGGCCTCGCCCTCGTCCTCGTCCTCGTCTTCGTCTTCGTCCCCGAAATTGCTGTCGTCTTCGTCGTCCTCGCCCTCGTACTCGTCCTCGCCCTCGTCCTGGTCCTCGTCGTCGTCCTCATCCTCGTCGTAACGCTCATCGTCAGCGTCCTCTTCGACTTCGTCAGTCAATCTGGACTCGCAGCGGGCCTTCTTATGCTGACGAGGAGACGGGCGGGCGGTTTCTTCGTTCGACCTCTGGCGCTTGCTCCCAATGGAGGATGCCCGCTGGAGAGTCTCCGCCTGCGGAGCAGAATGCGGGAGTGGACGCGACTTCTCGTCCTGAGAGGGCCCGCCGGTCGACAGTGAGGACCGACCCGTGATACGGCGCGCCAGTGAGCCGATCATTCTGACGGCAGCATCGACAGCGGTCTGGGGTTGGAGCTGCTCGTCCGTGGAACCAGACGCGACAGTGGACGAGGCGGTATGCGTCAGCATGTGAGTCTGCGAATCGTCCACAGTGAGCACAAGGATTAACCAAGACGAACGGAGCCACTTACACGCGCCGCCCGGGCCCCTTTGCAGGACCGGCCGCAAGTCCAGCACTGAAAGTCCTCCGTGTTACCGATGCGCGTCGCTCGATGCTTGACGCCGTCAACGCGAACGTGCGTCTTCTTTTGGTGGTACTTCTCCGCGTGGGCCTTGTAAAGGCGGTCTTTGTCCTGTGGGTTGGGGCAATGCGGGCGATCGCAGTGATATAACGGGCCCGGCGGGTTGCTCTCGATCGCAGTCCCTTCTTCTGCGGGTGTAGAGGGTTGCGTGGTCGAAATGGTTGCAGCAACCGGCGTTGACGGAAGAGTCGGAGAAGACGGAGAAGTGGCACGCCCCGGTATAGGAGGGGGCGGGGCCGCCTGCGAGACAGACGGAATGGCGGAGTCCATCAATGACGAAACGATTCTCGTGTCGCGTTGGCGAATGACGAGGAGTGCGCTTGCCAGCACACGACTGCGAGCAGGCAACGATCTGGGCAAGCGTTACGGCCTGGAATGAGCGCCCAAGGAGTTGGTCTTGATCCTCCGAACCGATGGGGGGGCGGGGGGCCGTGAAGTATCACCGAGATTATATCGGTGCGAAGCTGTTTAAAAAAAATAACCGTAACGGATCGCCGAAGGCAATCCGTCCGCTGCGTTGACCGAAGTCCCCGCGTGCGGTCGTTAGGGCGAAGCCCCAGCGAATGATCAAGGGCACCACAGGAGAGGGACGGCGACTTACTCACCGTGATGGTTAGTCTGCGGGTGCAAGAAGGGGGGGGGGGCGCCGTCAGTACCGGGTGTATGCGCGTGTATGCGCGGACTGACTTGCCTTGCTCGTGAACGGGGGCGGAAGGAAAAGAACTTGAACGCCCGCATCGCGAGCGTTCAAGTTCTTAAAGAAAATCTGAAACGCAACAAGAAATCAGCAAGGCATAGCGATGTACAAAACGAGACCTCCGGAAGAGTCCGACGCAAGTGCGTCGGACACCGGAGGCGGCGGGCAGGGGGATCGTCGCAAAGAAAAAAAAGAAGACGCACCGGGCGGCTTCCACGAGCCGCCGCCCCACCCCTCAACGCCCCTGTCTTGCGGGCAGAAACACCGCGTTGGCGGTGTCCATCGCGAGCGCGCTGTTGAGCGCGGCGGATTCGGTCGTCTTCGAGGAAACGGGACGGCGGGAGCGACGAGGAGAGAGGCGGGAAGGCGACAGCGACGGAGGGGGATGATGGTGATAAGAAGAAAAGGCAATGTCAGCAAACCAGTCACGCGGCTACCGAACAGTTTCCCACGACGCCGCAAAGGGTGGGGTGGCAGTGTAACGACGCGACTTTCGGCCGAGTCGGTTGTCCCCTTACACAGGTGGCAGTGTCACGACGCGCGTCGTGACGCAATGTTCACCCACGGTCCACTGCGTCGCTTTGCGTGGCAGTGTCTCTGCGTACAGCTTTTGGTGGCAGTGTCACGACGCGCCTCCGCCTTGCGTCCGTACAGATTTTGGTGGCAGTGTCGCGACGCGCCTCCGTGCGTGCAGATTTTGGTGGCAGTGTTGCGACGCTCCTCCGTGCGTGCAGATTTTGGTGGCAGTGTCACGACGCGCCTCTGCGGCGGCGGATGGACCCGCCGCCCGCCGCACCCTTGCGGCGTCAGGTTTTGGTGGCAGTGTCACGACGCGCCTCCGCCTTGCGTACAGATTCTGGTGGCAGTGTTGCGACGCGCCTCCGTGCATGCAGATTTTGGTGGCAGTGTCACGACGCGCCTCTGCGGCGGCGGATGGACCCGCCGCCCGCCGCAGTCTTGCGGCGTCAGGTTTTGGTGGCAGTGTCACGACGCGCCTCCGCTTTTGGTGGCAGTGTCCGCGGCGGCGGAAATCCCGAACTCCGCCCGAGATGCCCGAACAGTGGCAAATAATGAACTCGATTTTGTGAGCATCCAACGCGGACGCCTAAAATTGTGAAAGCCAGCTCATAATACGTCTAAAATCGAGCTGAATGTTGGGAAGTTGGGTTGCAATTTCTTAGGGCCCTGTTCCATGCCATAACAGGCTTTTCCTCCCAGCAAGATGAGTATACCAGGGATGCAATGCCTTACACAGGACTGAACACAGTGAATAAATTCCATCATGCTTGTGCAGGGCATGCAGACCCATGACCTTAGTCAATGTGTAAGGGTTGAGACAAAGCTAACCCAGTCAGAAAATATTGTGCTCAGCTCCTGAATGGCTTTAAAGGGGATATGTACCTGAATAGTCATTTTCAGAACCTCTGCTCCTTAGGTCATTGTAAGCCAGCTGTGCCATCCATATCTCCAAATATTATCCAATTTACTGCACCAGTATGGCACCACACCAAAGCAGTTTTCTGAATGTAAGATCAGTGAGTTATCACGTCACACATTTATTTCAACTTTTTACAATGGTACATTATTCCCACATATTCCTGCACCATTTCTGCACACTGTTTGATATTACAACATTTACACTTATACTCGGGTGTCTGAATGCACAAATTTAGTTTGGTTTTTTTCACTGATTTTGAAAGAGGTATTTTATTGTCTGGAGAGTCAAACCTTGCTGTGTGGCTGTGCAGCCTAGTGTCCATTGATTCTATAGCCTGGATGGATTTTTGGAGGATGATAATGACCCAAGTTGATAGACCCACTCTGTCCAATCCTCAATTCCATGTATTCAGTAAATCGGCCGTAGCGGCCGAAGGAACATTCCCACGGTCGTGGCAGTGCGATTTTCGGATTCCCACGATAATTCTGCACAGATTTAGGTACCCGACGGAATTGAGCCTCAATTCCGTCCGAACACAAGGATAGGCGTTGGTTTCTGCTGATGCCGACACACTTCCATGCCTTATGATGTGCTCTGATGACCTTGCATGATCCTTTATAGGTCGCCCTATGTTGATCCTACGTTGCGCTCCATTGACTCCATCTGATGTCCAGAGTGATCGACTTGTTTTGATTTTCTGTGTCGATCAGATCAAGTATAGACCTTCTCGTATATGGGTCAGAGGGCGCTTTCTGATGCCAAAGTGATGTGCAAAGATCCTAGATGTATGTCTCCCACCTATTGCCCTTTCGATGAGCCTCAGAGAATATTTTAGCGATTTATTTCGAGTTATGACCCTGAACTATATTCATGTGGCTATACACGTCTACTTGGCCGATGTCATACTGTACTGGTTCAATGGCACGAGCATTG